AATGTAATTATCTCTGGCTCTGGATATATGTATGTATGGATTGTTATGAGGAAACCGATAGAAAGAAAATAAAAGAAAAAAAAAGAGGCAATAGAACGATCAGATGAATTCTTTCGCTACACGGATCTTGGGGTTATCACAGGAAACCTCTCTTTGGACACTTGAGCCCAATTATTGGGTCCTTAAGAGGGGTCTCCTAGGAACCTAATGGGATCCCATGAGTTTGAAAGGGTTTGGATAAGTCTTGGTCAAGGGATTTGAATGGGTAGAAGTATATGGTAGGTTTGGTCAAACTTGATTGACTTGGCCAAGAAGTCAACCAAGTTGACCTAGGTCAAGGGTTGAGTCCATTGAGTTCAAATTGATCATATAAATTCAATGTAGGTAGTTTCAAATTAAGAGGAGGTCATTTGGTTGGAAATAGGTATTTAAACCCTTAAGGGCTACTTTGGTCAGCCATGATTAACTTGGTCAACCAGGTCAAACCAAAGGGTGGGTTTGAGTTCAATGTGTTCCTAATGACAATTGGAATCCATTGAAATAGGCTTTGAGGTTTGATATGGGTAGGCCAAGTTGAGTTTTGGGGAAAAGACCAAAATCCTTTTAAAGGGTATGTTGGTCATTTTTACCCCTAGTCAACACTAGGTCAAATCGGGTCCAAAAAAGTGTAGGCTACTGCTCATCAAGTCATAACAAAGGTCATGGATGGGGTTGGAAGGTTTGGAAAGAGTCCTAATGTCAAATGCCATAGAATGACAAGTCTAGTGGCATAGGATGTAAATATTTGAAGGTTTTGTATCATTTGAAAATCAATTAAGTTCCTAGAGACATAGACCTCAGAATGAGCTAAAATTTAGAGGATTGAGCCTAGAGACATGCATAATTAATATGCAACTAACAGATAATGAATTAGAGGTCATTTGATTGAATTTCAAGGTGACAAAAAATTCACCCAAAAAGGGTTTCAGGACCTAGGTCCTTAACTCTTGGATTTGGTTTGGAGTGTTGGGTTTAGATTGAATTTTGGACTTGACTGTTTGAGTTTGAATTATTCATATCAATGACAAACAAATGAATGATTGAGATTGGTTGGATATAATTTGAAAGTTGATTGAAAATTAGTGGAATATTGGACTAGAGATTGAATTGAAAGATGGAACTGGATTTGATTAGACTTGGATTTGGTTTTGACTGGGACCTATATGATTGAGAAGTGGACATCTTCCAATCACTAGGTCACCAGAAAGAAACCCAAGTAGGTCCTAGTGACCTCATATAGAAATGAGGTCAACACATATCTATCTCAAATTATTTATGCATAATTTATCACATTAATTAAGATATAAGTAGCAAGTATGCCTATTCAAATCTAATCATATGTTTTTCTATAATTTTATAAATATTATTTTTATGTGAGATTAGTCATGCTAAATATTAAAAGGAAAAGTTTCTGATAGTAAAAAATATTGGTGGTAGAATCAAAATATGCAATAAAAGAAAAAAAAAGAAGCTTTGTTAAAAAAGTTATTTTAGTGTAAACGATTATAAAATTGAGAAAAATATCTAGGGGCTCGTAGGTAGTTTAAGAAACCAATATATGATGCAAAGAATTTAAATTTTAGTGATTTATATATTATATTAGATATTAGTGATGGTGAAAGTTATATGTATAAATTAGCGAAGCAAAGAGATGCGAGGAATAATGGTCAAGTTTAAGTGAAGTACATTAATGACGAAGATAAAAAAAATGATTATCTTAGAAGAGAATATTTAACATAGGTGGATGACTTACTTTGATAAGCTTTTTAATAAAAATTGTGAAAATATGATTAATGTTAGTGACCTTAGTACCCCAAATAAAAATAATGATTTTTATTTTTATCCTTGTATTAGTAAAATTGAAGTTAGAGATTCATTAAAGAAAATAAAGTGTGAAAAAGTAGTTGGACTTGATGATAGCCCAATAGACGTGTGAAAATGCTTAGGAGATGAAGGTATATCTTGGTTGACTAAACTTTCTAATATTATATTGAAGACTAAAATGATGTTTAATAGTGGAGTATGTTGGTTCCTATTTTTAAGAATAAAGATGATGCATAAGAGTATGCAAATTATAGAGGAATTAAGTTAATGTGTCACACATTAAAACTATGGGAGAGAGTAATTGACCATAGGTTACAATGTGATGCTAATGTTTCTCAAAATTATATTAGATTCATGTCGGATAGGTCTATTATGAAGCTATACATTTATTGCAAGGTTTGATAGAGATGTATAGAGAAAGTAAAGAGGATCTACATATGATATTTATTGATTTAGAGAAAACATATTATAAAGTTCCAAAAGAAATGCTCTAGAGAGTTCTAGAAAAGAAAATTGTTAATAATGCTTATATTCAAGTCATTAAGGATATATATATATGAGCTATTACTTGTGTTCAAACTCAAGGTGGTTTGACCAATTATTTTTCTATTTCAATTTGGATTACATCAAGGATCAGCTTTAAGCTCATATGTTTTTGATTTAGCATGGAACTAGACATTTGCAAGAGGATGTACCCCGACGTATGCCTTTTACTGTAGTATTATTCTTGTTGATAGGGCTAGAGAGGGAGTTGATGAAAAACTTGAATTATGGAGGTCAACCTTAGAGTCTAAAGGTCTTTGTTTGAGTATATTTAAAATCGAATACATAGAGAACAAATATAGTTGTATTAAATCTAGTGGTGAGATTGTAACATTGGGTGATCAAGTCATTAAAAAGAGTGCATGTTTTAAATATCTTGAGTCTATTGTGCAAAACAACGGTGCAATAAATGGGGACATTATTAATAGAATTCATATTGGATGGTTGAAGTGGAGGAATGCATCAAGCTTGTTGTGTGATAGAAAAAAAATAGCCCTTAAACTTAAAGGAAAATTCTATAAGATGGTGGCGAGACTTGCAATGTTTTATGGCGCAAAATATTGCCATTAAAAGGAAAACATAAAGTTCAGTGTTGCGGAGATGAGGATGATCAAGTGGATGAGTGACTTTATACTTAGAGATAGAATGCAAAGTGAGCATATACATGTAAGGGTTGAAGTAGCTCCAATGACATAATATTAGAAAGAGTAGCCTTAGATGATTTGGTCACATAAAATGTCTACTTTCAATGACCCAGTTAACAGAGAAAACATATTAGAACCGACTATTTTTTTTTGAAAGTAGAGGTAGAGATATACCTAAAAATGCTTGATTAAAAAGTATTAAAAATATATTTTTTTTATCTGTAGCATCCTGGCGTATTCACAGCTGTAGAGAAATATAAAGCTTAACGTCTTAGCTTTATATGAAAATCCAGCACGGACACAGATAAAGAGAGAGGGCACATCATTAATAAAAGACACCAAGGTTTTTACGTGAAAACCCTTAAAAAGGGGGAAAAACCATGAGGCCTAGCCTATTTGGAATGAATCCACTATTATTTGTAATCGATTATAAATGAGGCCCTTCCTTAGGGGAAAGGCCTTGACTTGATGTACATTATATGAAGTAAATGATGAGAATACAAAGAGTCACTATTGACGTGTTCGTTTGGTCAGAAGGACTGTAGTCGATGGGCGACGTAAGTCGGAAGTACCATAGTCGGCGAGCGACGAAGGTCAGAAGAACTGTTGTCTAACGACGGAGGTCAGAAGAACGTCGTCAGGTAGAAGTCAAGAAATTGACAGAAATCCAACATCGGATAGATATCCGGTGAAAATCCGACAATGGTCAGAAGTTTAGTGTCTGGTAGAAATCTTACGACGAGTGGAGGTTCGGCTTCGGGTAGAAGTCCGACGTCAGTTGGCGGCCGGGGAGAACTCTGGAGTTAGATGGTATTCAGACAAAACTACAGAGCCACTTGGAGATCAAATTGAACTCCGGCGTTAGTTAAAGTTGGGTAGAACTTTGGCATCACTTGAAAGTCGGGCGGAACTGGCGTCACTTGAAAGTCGGGCGGAACTCCAACGGTGGTCGAGGAGGAGCTTCTTCCCTCCTCTTCTTCTCTTCTCCTCTCTTCTTGCTTCCCTCCTTTCTTAGGCCCCCTCTTAAGAGAAATGAGGGGCTGTTTATAGTTTTCTGAGAGTGGCATGACCTGTAAATAGGAGAAGGATCAAGGGCAAATGTGGAGTAGTTTGGATGGATGATCGATATTGAATCCCTTGATCGTGGACCGTTCATCAGACATTTGAAGGTCTTAATGATATTGGAATTCAGAGATCTTGGGCTCGTTGGATTCATCTCGTCGCTCCGCTTGATTCGACTATAAGCATGTCATGTTTTGAAACCTTTTGATAATCCAAATTGTGGTTTGACCTTCCAACAACACTTCGGGTCTTTGATTCAAATCCATTTGGGCTCGGATTGAGTTGAATTTGGTGTAGTTGGGTTTGTATTTCCAACACGCTCAGTTCGACTGTAAGTTTGCTGAAGTCGGAGTTCAGATGATCCCAGATTTAATTTTTGAAATTTTCAACTTGATTTTTGCTTCAAGATTCATGTCCGATCAAGATAATTTTTTGATGATATAACATCATCAAATTTAAATAAAATTTTGAGTCTAAATAAAAAACAATGTAGAAAAAAATTAATATAATTAACTATAATAGTGAATAAAAGCTTAATGTTATTATAATTAATCATGTTAACTTCAACTGCATCTGCATGTAGGGAGAAATTATTGTGCGGAATCTGAATGCATTCGAAGACGAATACGAATGCGCCACGTCACCGAATGCACTGGACCCCGGTGATGTGGTATGCCCGAATTCTCCTCCGAATACGTTAAGATTCCGCACACAATAATTTCTCGCATGTGGGAGTGCATTTAACATGTTTCCCATTTGTCATAATGATTTTTTTGCGTGGATATTGTTCGATAAAAAAAAGTAAAATAATAGAAAAATTTAGGCCGACGAGTGCACTTGGGGCTCTAGATATTTCTGATCCGCTGGAACGTTATCTATAAAATTATTTCAATGTTCACTCGCTCTCTTGAGCTTCCGCTTCCGCTTCCGCTTCCTCTTCATCTTGTCAATTCAAGCCCAGTCTTCTCAGCCTTCGTGAGTCGTCAGAGCGCAATCTCGACATTTTCATCGATTCAGCAATGTTCTCCGCGATAGGTACGCCGTCAAGGGGATTAGTCCTGGTTTACAGTTCGTTTGCTGAAAATGGTCACGCCAAAACCTCGACGGTTGCCCCTTCCTCGTGTACATCCTGGATTGGTTATAGTAACAGAAGGAGGCCTTCGCTTGTAAGAATAGAGGTTGTCCCGAAGCCCGTTGCATCCAGTAGCGGCACAGAGCAGCGCGAATCTGCCGGCAGGGAATCGAGGGACGGAAGCGCCAGTGACGAGGCTTTGCAGCTCCGGGTATTCCTTCCAAATGCTTGATCAGTTTATGCTTTGGAGTTTTGTCGTGGCTTTATGTTGGGCGAGGTGATAGTACTTGACATCTAGTTTGAATCACACAGAAGTCAGGAAATATATTTTCTTGCGATTCGTAGAGAGATTGGGTTGAAGAAAAACATATTTAGATACCTTGAACATTCTTAAAAGAGTTGTTTCTTTGAGGCGTTGGCCTGTCTAACCAGTTACAAAAAGGTTATATTGATAATACTAGTGTTGTACATGCAATCATCTATAATTTAAATTTTATATTACAAGTAATGTGATATAATGCAGATTCTATAATCATTCTAATCAAAATCTGTTACGTATTAATATAGTTCATGATTTATATGAATAAGATTTATATCTCATCAATCAAAATAATGCACATAAACCTCATAGGAACTTATTTAACAATTAGCATAGTATAACCAACTAAATGTCACATTAAATCTATATGGATCATTGTAGATGGATTGAACATATTTAACAATCAGCACGCGGCAAGGAAAACGGTCCTAACAAATAATAATATGTTTACTCCTTAATCAGAAAAGAGTCACTTGCTTGTAGTTGCTCAAAGTTAGTCAAATGCATTAGCATGATTTTAATCAAATCTCATTCTGAAACATATTGCTCCACATATCCTAAGTTAAGAAATCTCATATCAGACATGCATTCAATGTGTAGAACATCAACGGCTGAATAAGCAAATAACCAATTTAAGCATATTATTGTGATTAATTGCATCTATGAATTTCTCATAATTAAACCTAAATAATCATTTGTGGATGAGATTGTCTAGATTAATCTTTTTATTGCAATATTTTAAAAGAATTGTATTGTAAACGAAAACCAATTAATCCTTTGATAGCAATGCACAATCCAATGTCCCTTCCCCCAAATTAGTAATTTAGTTATCCATTGAGTTTAATATATCCATTAACTCAATATACTATAGTCTAATTCATATACGCACTTATGAATTAAATTTCATAATTTTATGAGGCTGGGAGAAGAAATGGGGTAGAACGGTTCGGTTGGACTAGCATGAACCAGATGTTTTTTTAGTTACTTTAATTAAGGTTTACTGCATTTAATACATCATTTGAATGATTTCGGCTGGCTGCAGTAGATATCTGAAGTTGTGAAAAAGATTTATAGGTTTTCTGTGATGTGATAGTTATTGTCATTAAGGTCGATGAATATATTCTTTTTTTTTTTCTGAGCTAATAATGATTCTATTTATTGAAAAATAAGGGGACTAAATTATTTCTCTCTCTTATTTATTTATTTATTTATTTTCCGACAGAGGTCATTGAGATATAAGGAACTAAAGATGATCATACTTTTAGAGATATGCTTGGTGAATATAAACTTAGCTGTTTTTGTAGTTAGTAATGATGTTTTCTTAAGCACAGACAAACATAACAAAAAATGCTGGTTTTATTCGTTGTTTTGTCTCTCGAAAGTTAGAGAAATGCCTAAATTCTTGTTCCTACAAAAAGCATTAGTATCAATTGTGGGGTATATCTATGTCAATACGATATGTGCATAGTTCTTTATAATTTGTACTTTACATACTTTCTTGGCAATTGAGCATTATCTCACATTAAGTTTCTCTGAAGAAGTAGAGGTCTGCTGATTGGAGGGCTGCAAGGACATATAAGGAAAGTGGTGTCATTTTTGATGGAAAAATAGAGGGCTCAAATGCTGGTGGTTTACTGATTCGGTTTTACTCACTACTCGGCTTTCTTCCTTATCCTCTTTTGAGTCCTTCTCATTCTTGTAGAGGTATTCACTGTTACTTAGATCTCTCTCCAATAAATATATTTTTGTAATACACTTGATTTTCTTTGCATATCTCATATTAAAGATTCAAAATCCATAAAATTCAACTATCTTGTGCTTTTATCATTTTCTTGTATGTTGGAAATCATGTTAAACTTTAGTTTTAACTAATCATATATTTTATTTGCCTAGAGACCTAAAATCAGATTTTCAGACAAGCGAGGACACTTTCTTTATGATGCAGAAACACTTGGTTTCTTATTTTGAAGCCTTTATATGTACATTTCATTTTTATTCTTCCCATATATGAAATTACTGTGCCATGATAATTTTTGAAGGGATTTGAATCATTGAACTCCATATTGCACCGCAGGAGGAAATAGCACTAGGTCATTTCAATGGTGGTTGCTGAGATATGAAATTACATGATTAAGTGCATAAAATAAACGGAAGCTTTAAATTGGAAAACATTTAAAGCATTTTGGTCAACAACGCTGAATGCTAAATGTTTGTGTTTAATCATGAGTAATAATGTTACCTGACAATGTGTGGGTTAGACTTAACTTCTCTACTCTATAGCCTGTCATAATTTTTTCCTGATAAAATATGATTGAAGAGGAGTGATGATGCCTGATACATCAATGATTGATTGTATTCAATGTTCAAATCCAATTTTGATGAATGTTTTCAATATTTGAGAATTGATAGCCCCATGGCTTAAAGTTGAAATTGCAAGTGGCTCAAATTATGAAGACCAATTGTAGAAAATTTTAACATAAGCCATAGTTCAGTTGTATATGGATTAGATTTGACATTGTAATTTAATATATAATATTTCTGAAGGAAAGAAATAGAAGTGAACAAGGGAGAAAGAGTGGTGGAATGCTCCATGCATTGTATTGGCCAAATCTGTTCCTACTCGGTACGCTCGGTATTGAGCATATACAACAAGCAGAATTTCAAAATTACTCTTATAATATAATTTTGTTCCGGGGGCAGAGCCCCCGGAAACCCCCGCAGGGGCGCTGCCCCTTGACCCCGCGACCTGACCGGGCAGGTCGAACCCCGCCAGGGGGCAGCGCCCCCTTGGACCCCCGGCAGAGTCGCAATATATCTACACTTTCACTTAAATTTTTTCATGTTTCAAATTCATATGGGAGCCCACACGGTGTGAAGGTAACTTTCTCCCTTTCATGTGCTTCTTCGGCCAAATCCTGTAAATCCGCCAAACTACAGGATTTAATAAATCTGGGATTTACGACAAAAAACGGAAAATGGAGGATTTTTTCTGCTGTGAGATTTACGGGGCGCTCAAATCCCGTTTGGAAGGATTTAGGATTTATCATAAATCCTGCATAAATCATGTTGCCAAACAGCCCCTTAGAGACAGAATACGAAACAACTTTATATGTGAACAACTTGGAGAACCTCCAGTGGGCAATAAGATTAGAGAGACGCCTTAATATGAAAACTTTGAGTAACATCCCTCCGTCGTCCACCGGCTACGGTTCCTCCAACCTCTATCGTCAGCCGACTTTGATCCCTCGGACCTCCAACTTTGGTCAACGCCTATTACGCCTCTGTCGCCCAACTATGTTCTTACCAACCAAATGAACATATCAACGTTCTTTTGAGAACACCTCTCACATCTCTGGATGCTCCCAACTCCAACTATGTAATGCGCTTTATATGAGATATATTTGCTACATTGAGCCAAGGCCTTTCCCCGTGGATGGGAATCATTAGTAACCAGCGACAAACATCTCTGGACGCTTCATATTTTTTCATCTTTTTCAGAGGTTTCCACATAAAAAATTCGGGTGCCTCTTATGAATGTTGCATCTCTCTTATATGTATGTGTGATGGCTCTTTGTACAAAACAAGGAAGTTAAATTTTATATCTTTCTACCATGGCGAATGTTCTGATAGGAAATACTTGAGTTCGCAAGTAATTCCTAGCCAAATCGGAAGCGAGACATCAGAAAATCTTCTGTTTATAGAGTTGGACAGCAGGTTTTCACAGAAAAAACAGCAGAAATTATAGAGAAAACGGAGAGAAAACTCAAAGAAAAGCTTGTATTCCACTAGTCGATGAATAAAATAGCAAGATACAATTGATCCTCAATTCGAGAGGAGGTCGATCTCTCCCAAATCTCTAGACGCCGCTAGAGCCCAAAGAAAATCTAAATCTAAGAGATCTCAAAATTCTGTCAAATTCAAGATGCCCAAACCCTAGGAAAAACAACTATTTAATGCATACAAATCAAAAGGAAATCCCTAAACAGTCCCTACATTCAAATTTCCCTCTCAAAACGCTGAAAAACGCTTCCTAAAATGCTCTAATGGGCTGGTCGGGCCGCTCGATCTCCGCAGGAGGCGGAGATCTGTCGCTCTTTGCGACTTGCCGGTCCAGTGCGGACCGGCTTGACCGGTCCAGTGGACCGGTCTAACATAGTGCTATCTTGTTTTGAGTGTAGCCTATTATGGGCAACATTTGTCTATAAATAGGTAGCCTTTACTTGTAATGGAGATTGGTTGAGATGAATAAGAATTGAGTAATTTTACTCTTGTTTTGGATTTCTGTATCATGAAGGATTTCAGGTGGTGATCGCACTTCCAAGGATTTTCTTGGGTCTTGTGTGAGTTGCGAGTTCCTGCAGCTCGCATGATCTTGTCCGTCGTCGTGTCGTCTCCGCCGCTGGCGTCATTTGGTATCAGAGCCAATAGGCTCTTCTTGCTCGGTATCTTGAGAATTCCTGAGGTGGTGAAGAGAAGAACCAAAGAAGCTCTGAAGGGGATCCAGCATTCACTAAGCATCCAAGTGGATTGGCATCATCTGGTCTCCTGGAGTTCTCAAGTGGCGGTTACCTGTCGATCTTTTTCATTCTGCTTATTCTTCTTCGTTTCTTTCTTCTACTCTTGTTGTTAAAGAAATGAAAGCCATTCCTCCCAAAAACATAAAAATCTAAGCATTTGAAACCTGTTTCCGCACAAGTCCTGCCCTACCGCACATCCTGCTGCCAATTTGTTTTTCCAACCTGTTGAGGGTTGCAAGGCAACTATTGTCGACAAAAAAAGTTGATTGATTCTTTAATCTTTTTGCCAACAAAGGCATTATGAATTGTGGCCATCGAGGTAGTTAATTCTGAGTTAAGGGCTTCTATCTTGGAGTCCTAGGAGGAAACGCATGCTGTCTTGAAGCTAGAGCAGGCGACCAACTGCTTCGATCTTGAAACCAACTCTGGGCTTGCGTGATCATGCTTTTCTACGTGAAGTGGATTCTGTTTTCTACCTCGACTTATTCAGGCGAAGTCAGGTTGCTTCTACGGTTTTCTAGTCACCAGAAATCCCCTTCGACATTTTTCTTCTAGCCATCTGTTGGTTGTCCAGCTGCAGCTTAAAGGCCAAGAAGTGAGAAGAATTCTTTCCTTGCTTTTTGAATCTTCATCATTGGCATCAAATTGAGCCTAATACCACCCGAAACTTTGAGAAGTTATATTGTGCACTTTGTATCGGAAGAAATGACTAGGAAGAAACAAGAACCGATAGAATTTCTCCACTCATACTTATTTTATCCATCCAAAGAAAAACATAGCAATATGCCGTGTAGCTGGAATTCAAAAAGATCAGTACAAGGAGTGGTGATTGAAGAACTACAAAGAGAAATACAATACATTCGACAATGATTAACAAGACTTGGCTGAGACAAGTAGATGAATGTCAAGAAAAGGAAGAAGACATTCATCCTTTTTCTCATGATCTTTAGAGTTGGGGAGAGGGCATCTCAAATGATCGGATCTCTTCCACCTATGAAGACGTGTTTGAAGGGCCACCTCGTCATTCTTCCACCCCACCCTTGATCGAGTTCAGCTTCGAAAGACTTGAAGATCCGTTGTCGAATTCGTTGTCTTTGCCTCTCTACGTTGAGCCAGTGTATGACGTGTATGATGACGACATAGTCGGTGAAGTTCTTGATATTGATCAACCTGCATATGATGATGATGAGGGCAAAATGGATGGCCAACCAGAGCCAAATGTTCAACCGGAACTATTCATTCACAATGTTCCAAACAAGACAACAATTATGCTCGCCATCATTGATAAAAAAATTACATGTGAAGATCTCCTCAATGGTTTGGATCGTGAAGCTCTTAACTTCTCTAGATGGCTGAAAGAAACACCTTTGGTCCTGTATGCTTTCACAATCACAAGTATTCCATTTGCTTATGCTACTCTTGAGATATTGAAGATTCGTAGGCAAATCGATACCGGATGGACCTATCCAGACCCGTTTAGCCAACCAAATCCACCTCCTTATGGCGGCCAATCGGACATCTTCCTATGAGCCTGAAGTTTCTCCTATCCCGGTAGTATAACGCCGGAGCTAAGCCGCTTATTCATGATAACTTCAGGCTAGTTTTATTTCATTTGGTAGCGTATATGGCTACATAGTATTAGTGCTCTCTTGTTTTGAGTGTAGCCTATTATGGGCAATATTTGTCTATAAATAGGTAGCCTTTACTTGTAATGGAGATTGATTGAGATGAATAAGAATTGAGTAGTTTTATTCTTGTTTTGAGTTTCTGTATTCTGAAGGAATTCAGGTGGTGATCGTATGTCCAAGGAGTTCTTGGGTCTTGTGTGAGTTGCGAGTTCCTGCAGCTCGCATGTGTCTGTCGCCGTGTTGCCTCCGCCGCGGGCGTCACGGTGATTGCAACTTCTTTATAGATTCTTCCTTTTAGAGTAAATGCAAAGCTCAGAGGGATGTTATGAGGTCGAGTGATTATGGAAAATTGGAGTTTCGATAATTTCAATATCATTTAGCTTGGGAAGGTTAAGGTGCTTAGTGGTATTAATGTGTTGGAGAATTTAGTAGGAAAAATATTAAAATTTTCTTCCTCATCTATGTCTCCTTGAAGGGATTTTTTTAAAAGAACTATTTTTTTTTGGGAAGAAAGTGGCATCCTTGGGATTTTTTTCTTCATAGAAATGACATTTGTACC